GACCTCAGGACCTTGCACTTGCCAGGCAGGCACTGTGCCGCTGAGCTACATCCCGGCCCCTCAACAAGTATTTCTGAGGCTACTGTGTGCTGGGCTTTTGGGATGCAGTGGAAAAAAACCAAATTTCTCTTCTTTGAGAAACCTACAGTCCACCATGGAGATAAACAGAATAAAAAGGTAAGTAGGATAGGGTATGTTTAAGTGTCACAGTAGACACACGGGAGGCAGTGGAGGACCCCAGGATCTCCATCTAGCTTGGTTCTGTGTGATCCTTGTTCTCAGGAATGTGTTTCAGGCATGACATTTTACATAAGAAGAATCTTATCCTATGCAGGAAAAGGGAACCTGTATGGGACTCACATCTGTCACTCAGACCCATTTTGGTGGTTTTAACCCCTCACTCAGTGTGGTTGGAGTTTGTGATTTGTTAACACACCCTCTCATTGTAGTCACCGGTGGGGTGCCCTGTGTAAAGTTCGCTGACTCCAAGGATGGCTGGGAAAGCTAAGTTCAGTCTTACCTGTACCCAAGTGAAGGAAAGTCATGTCTGTTGGAAAGTCACCTTCCCCCTCCTCATCCTCCCTCCCCACCTCCTTTTGAACCCAGCATCTTCCCACTGAGCTACATCAGCCAGCCCTTTTTTTATTTGTAATTTTTAAAAATATTTTTATTTTGGGACAGGGTCTAGCTAAATTGTCCGGGCTGCACTCCAACTTGTAATCATCCTGCCTCAGCCTCCCAGAGTGCTGGGATGACAGGCATGCACCACCCTAATGCCTTCAGCTCTCTACAGGGCCCCTGCTTACCTCCTGCAGAGCTGCCACTTCACTGACCAGAAGACTGGGACCCTGGGCAGCTGGGGCTGAGGTGAATGGTGCGGCCTGTCAGGCTTCCTCCCTCCCGGGGGGTCTCGCCCAGTCCAACAACTGCCAAACCTCAGTCTGCAGCCTGGACTTCATGGGGAACTCAGGTTCGTAAATCCAACTGCCTACCGCCTGTTCGCATCTCCGGCTCCACACGCCAAAGCCACACTCCCAGCTTCCAGCCCCAACTGCTCCCTTTGCACGCTGCCTTCCCCATCTCAGCAGAGGGCAGCTTCAGCCTTCCACAGACGCTCAGCCTTGCTGTCAGCCTGCCGGTCCCTTTCACGCCTGCTGCACATTTGCTTCTCCAGCAAATCCCGCTGGCTCACAGGCCAGAGCCCCAGAGCCCTCCCCGTCCTTACCACACCACCTCCTGCACACAGGCAGTACCGGCCCTGTGCAGGCTCCGAGCAGGGAGATGTCCTGCCGGCACTGCTTGGTGGATTTTCTGTCTGTCCTCCCACCTTTTCCATCCCTGGCCCCATCTTACCTGCTGAGAAACGATCACTCGGGGCTTTTACACATACTATTAGGGTTGGGTGCACACTCTGAGGTGAGGCCACTGGGCTTCTAACTGCAGCTCTTTTTAGCACTGAGGGTCCAACCCTAGGGTGCTCTACCACTGGGCTATATCTCCAACCTTTTTTAATTTTTACTTTGAGACAGGGTCTCACTAAGTTAGGAACGCTGGTCTCAAACTTTTGATCCTCCTGCCTCAGCCTTCTGAGTGATCTCAGCTTTGATATTTACCAGGCACAGGCTTTTGGAGAAATGATTTATATCCACATCTCAGTTTCTTCATCTGTAAAAACAGAAATAAGAGCACATTCTTCTTAGGGCGATTGTGAGGACTGAATAATTTCTTGGTCTTTTTTTGAGACAGTGTCTCACTATGTAGTCCAGGCTGGCCGTGAACTCACCATGCAGCCCAGGCTCGAACTCTGGCAATCCTCCTGCCCTCAGCCTCTGGAGTGCTGGGATTACAGGCGTGTGACTCCACATCCAGCTAGGACTGGATAAATTAATACATATACAACGTTTCCATCAATGCCTGGCACACACAAAGTGCTCAGAAAGGGGCAGGTATAATAATTTACATATATTATCTCAATTACATATTTCACTTTAGTGTAATAGTTAAGAATTTAGCTTCACCTCTCAGGTTCACCACTGCTGAGCCGAGAGTTCTTGAACAAGGGCCACCTTCTACGCCTTCACTGCCATATTTGCAACGGAGGTAGTATTGGAGGAGACTGTGTAGGAGTTCAATAAATGCTATTATTACTCAGTTCTGACACCAGCCTCACAAAACCACAGAACCCGGTGATTAAGTAAACAATACAGTTTGACCAACTGTGTGGCTGTCTATAGGTGGACAGTTTACTTCTCTGTTCTCTATTTTTTTTCTTTTTTTGTTTATTTGTGTTTGTGTGTGTTTGCAGTGCTAGGGACAGAACCCATGGCTTTAAGCATGGTAGGCAAACACTCTACCACTGAACTATACCCCCAGTCCTATTTCTCTGTTTCCTCACTGAAAAATCCTAATAGAGCTCACTCTGAAATTATCCTGCCAGACACCAAGAACAGTATCAGCTCACCCAGTGTAGTGGTGAGGCTGAGGCAAGAGGACTGCCAAGAGTCTGTGGCCAGCTTGGGCTACATAGTGAGTTCAAGGCTCATCTGAACGACATAGCAAAAGCCTGTCTCAAACAACCAACCACAAAAAGAACAATATCAACGAACATTATCCCCATTTTATAGATAAGAAAGTTGAGAGTCAAAAAAGGGCGGGGGGGGGGGGGCTGGGGATTTAGTTCAGCGACAAAAGCGCCTGCCTGGCATGCGCAAGGTCGTGAGTTCGGTTCCCGGTACCGGAGAAAAACAAACAAACAAAAAAAAGGGCGGGGGCCGGGCATGGTGGCACATGCTTGTAATCCCAGCACTCGGGAGGCTGAAGCAGGAGGATGGTCATGAGTTTAAGGCCAAACTACTGGACTACATAGTGAGAGCCTTGAAAGAAAGAAAGAAAGAAAGAAAGAAAGAAAGAAAGAAAGAAAGAAAAAGAAAGAAAGAAAGAAAGAGGGAGGGAGGGAGGGAGGGAGGGAAGGAGAAAGAAAGATGGGTATCAGTTTTCAAGGAAAACCTAGCTTCAAATACTAGTTTGGTTTTGTGATCTGGGGCAACTTATTTAGCCTCTCTGAACTTTAATCTCCTTATCTTTAAAATGGTAATTAGCTCCTCCCCGTCCATTAGTATTTATGCTTTTTTTTTTTTAGCTTTTTAATTTTTTGGTGCTGAGGACGAACCCAGGGCTTCCAGCTTGCTAGACAAGCATTCTACCACTGAGCTACATCCCCAGCCCTCGGGTTTTGTATCCCTGATGACAACCAGGCTGACTAGGTGAGAAGGAGTCCTAATGCGTTAAACAGCCGAGCTTCAGGCAGCTGGTTCTAACGATCCCACGAGTGCTGGCACGTGAAATGCTTAGCATGGGGCCCTTCTCACTCTCCCCATGTTTACCTAGAGGGAAACGGAGGTAGAGTGACGTCAGCGGCCACACCCGCCTGCCTCCGGACCTGGAGCAGAGGTCTCCGGAAGCGGGCGGGTTGGTAGGGAATGCTCTGGCCCTGGGATCCAGAGCAGCTGGAAACAGAGGCTCTCAGTTCTGCTCCAGATCTACCCGTGCCCAACCCGGAGCCCTGGGCGGAGGCGAAGGGATGGCCACCAAGCTGTTTGTAGCCCAGTGAGGTGCACAGGGCCAGAAGCAAGGCAAGTGGGGAGGACAAAGAGACAGGAGGAGCAGCAACCGGTCTCCCCTTTCTACAGCACTCACGCAGTCAGACAGCCACCACTAGTTTCTCTTTTGGGGGCAGGGTGGTGAGTTTTGAGACAGCATCTCAGTAGTACAGGCTGGCCTTGAACTCACTGTGTGGTCCGGGCTGCTCTTGAACTCACAGTGATTCCTGCCTCAGCCTTCCAAGTGCTGGGATTACAGGCGTGCGCCACCCTGCCCAGCTCCAGCAAAGACTAGTTTAATAAAGGCAGATTTAAATTTAGTTTCTTCAAAAAAAAAAAAAAAAGTTTCTTCTTCTGCTCCCTACTCCCTTGTACTCAGATGAGATCCATCCCAGGAAGGATAAAAGGTACCCATGAAATGGCTTTTGTTTGTTTTGCTATGCTGGGATCTAACCCAGGTACTTGTACATGCTGGCTAAGTCCTCTCTATTTATCTATGTATCTATCTACCTATTTCAGTACTGGGAATACTGGGAATCAAACCCAGGGTGCTCTCCCACAGAACTATATCCCTATCCGTTTTTTACTTTAAGATAGGGTCTAGATATGTTACTGAGATTGGCCTTGAACTTGCAATCCTCCTGCCTCAGTCTTCCAAGTGCTGGGGTTAGAGGTGGGCCCCACCGAACCTGGCTCAAATTTCTTGTTTCTTTGTGGTGCTGGGGATTGAAGCTAGGACTTGCGCATGCTACCTACCTGCCTCCTACCTCTACCACTGAGCCACATCCTCAACTTTCCTTTTCTAAACTACCAGGTAGTACCTCCAGGAAGAAAAGAGAAGAAATAGCTCATCACACACACACACACACACACACACACACACACACACACACACACACACACACACACGCTCACTCAACGGTATCCTCTTATTTGTGCTCATGTTTATTATGATCTCCTTGCCCACCCAGAATGAAAGGTGCAGGACAGCAGAGACAAGCTTTACCAGGATCCTTCAGGGTAAGGCACTTAGTGGCTGTTTTCCTCAAAGCAATGAAGGAATGAATGAAATTCTACAGCAGGAATGCACGGAAGTCCCAGGTCCGAAAACATCACCCTGGGCACCAGGACTTCTCTCAAAATGGAATTCCTGGAATCGTTCCTCCGAGGGCCTCTGCCTGTCAGCGCCGGCCACCTTGATTGCCAAGGTGAGGGGAGGAGAGACGCACGGAACAGAAAAGCAGCCCTCTTCTCTGGGAGCAGGATCGAGGAGCGGAAGAGGCTATGACCTCCGCGCAGAGCCTCCCCTCTTTGGCCCAGGAAGGCTGCCTGACTACTTCTACGTCCCCCTGTCCAGCAGCCTCTGCTCTGTGCCGGTTTTAGGCAGCCGAGTGGGGGATCTCCAGGCTAAAGTGGACGCTAGAAGGCCCTCTGGGCTCCCTCGGCCTTGCAAGGTGCGAATGCCCAGGGAGCGTATACTGGTCCCATTATCTGACTATTATTAATAATAATATCGTGATTAAATATTTATGAAGCGCTCTGGCGCTGCTCGACGGTGACCCTCCCATCACTCCCCCAGCCTTCCAGCAACACCAGGGCTCGCACCCCGGGTCCCACGCCCGGTCCCACCCGTCCTCCCCAGTAGGTTCTTTGGAAGGAGGCCGGTGCCAGGTCGCCCTGGCCGCCTGGGTGGGCCCTGACCGCCGGGGACCCAGGCGTCCGGGATCCCTGCGGGGCGGAATCGGAGCTTCGCGGCGCTGCGCCCCGCGCCTGGGCCTCGGGCGCAGAAGCCGGGAGGGGCCGGCCGGGTGCCC